AAAACGCATTTTCGCGCATTCAAAAGGCTGTTTTGGCTTTCCCTTGCTTGAGCGATAAAAGCCTGCAGTGCAGCTTTCTGATTGCGTGCTGGGGAATATGTTTAATTCATTATACAGCGAACATACCCTTTGGCATTTTCGAAGGCCTGAGGCGCAGACGGGCTTTAGTCTGGGGGGTTTTGGTAAGGTCTGAGGCCACTATTACCGGGGGTCGCTGTCGCCCTTCTAAACTCATCTTTCCCTGCCCTTTCCTAGGTTCTGGATCCCGGAAAATGGGCTTTAATCAAGGGGGGCTTCATAATCCTAAGTTGCCATTAAACCCCAAACCCTAAACCCTAAACCCAATCCCTACAGGCAGTGGAGTGGGTCGAGGATGCCTTCCTACGATCCTACCAGCCAGCACCAGGGCAGTGTCGGGATATTCACTGCAACATCAGGCCGCGAACGGGATCGGTTCTGGGGGGTTTTAGGGTTTTCAGGATTTAGGGGTTCAGGATTTGGGGGTACTTGGTTAGGGGTTAGGGGTTTGGGGTTTAGCAGGTTTAGGGTTTAGGGTTTAGTGGTTTAGGGTTTAGGGTTCAGGGTTTGTGGTCTCTAGATCAGACTAGATCAGGGTACCTGTGGGAACATTCCAAGAAACTAGGGGCTAGGGATCATAGGGTTCAGTGTATTTTTGGGTTCAAGGTTTGTAGGTTTGAATGGGTTGTCCTGGGGGGTCCTAAATCGGTCTGGCAAATGCTGTTGTGTATTTCCGCTTGTTTGAGAACTCTCAAGCTTGCTGGTGGTTAGTAGGGAATAACGGAGTGAAATCCGTATATAATCCCGATATAACATATTCCCATTCCCTACTCTAACCCCAATGTAGACCCCATTGTCGTGTCTAGTTTCCATTTTCTTTTCCACGAATATTTTCCCTACTAAGCCTAAACCTTAAACCATATATGTATATCCACACACCCTTACTCCCGACTAACCCCCAACTAAGCAAATGGACCTGCAGGGACGAGCTGTCAAGCGCTGTGGACCTGCAGTCCCCCTTGGCTGGCCTCTGGGTTGACTTCCATGTGGGGGTTTTCTCAAAACGCGGCTAACCCTCAGGGCGTTTAGGGATGCATAGGGAATATGAGGCCAACCCCTAAATCCTAGGCACTCAATCCGAAATCTAAAAAATAGGTTAGGATATAAATCCAAAGCCTTCAACCCTAAATCCTAAGTGCACTAAGATTTAGGCTTTAGGACTTAAATCCTAAACCCCAAACCCTGAGAGGTGTGGCTGCATGGCTACTTCTCCAGCTACAGCCCGAAGCTCATCTCAGTGCCTTGGACTACATGGGACGTCTCCATCTTTCCCCGACTTTCTGGTGCTCAAGGGGGAGTGGGGGAGTGAATATAGGGTAGTTTAGGGTTCAGGGCTTAGGGTGGAAGAGTGAATGCAGGGATTCTTATGGATGTATAGAGGGGGTTATAGAGAAATACAGGGATTACTATCAGGATCCATTCCCCCACTCTCCCTTCCCTAAACCCTAAACCCTAAACGCCAAACCCTAAGCCCTAAGCCCTAAGCCCTAAACCCTAAGCCCTAAACCCTAAACCCTTAAGCACCAGTAAGCTGATCGCTGCAGCCTAAGGAGCTGGAGGCCCATTTGAACGTCTGCAAGCTTCAGCCACTTGGAAGGAAAAGGAGGGTTTTCTTGCTGGGGGTTAGGGTTTAGGGTTTTAGGGTTTAGGGTTTGAGGGTTTAAGGGTTTAAGGGTTTAAGGGTTTAGGTCTTAGGTTTAGGGTTTAGGGTGTAGGGTTTTAGGGTTTAAGGGTTGGGGTTTAGGGTTTAGGGGTTAGTAGGGAATAAGGGAGTACATTATGTAGGAATTACAAAGGGATGATCTTCCCCACCAAAACCCCAATAAGTTTTGGGTCTGCCGATTTTCACGTTTGGATGCCAGGGAGCAGGAGGTGATGTACTCCGCGCCCAAAACTGACAGGACGATGTGCAGGAGCTCTTCTTACTGGGGTTTAGCAGGCAATAAGGTAATATTTTCTAGGGATTATATGGGATATTACAATAGGGTAAAGGGAACATGGAAAAGATAATTAAGACTTACTACAGTCTAATAGAGTGGAGGGTGAATAGTTGATGGTCAAGAAATTTTGAAAATGGTGTGCATGGTTATGATAGTTCGCTCACTGTCACCGTAGCATCTGTAGGCCAAGTAAGTTCTGCAGTTGCTGCGTGGACACCCGTGACCTTTGGTAATACCCTAACTCTACATCCTAATGGTGTCGGTGGGAGCTGGCAGCCCTTGCAGATCCCGTCCGGAGTGTTGAGTGGGGACAGTTGTAGCGAAGGTTTAGGGTTTCGTGAGTCTTCATCCACAAGAATAATACTTCTATATAACCCCAATTTATACCTTCATATGCTGTAGTAGTTTCCATTTCCTTTTCCATTATCCCTATATAACCTTAACCCGTATAAATTCTGAAGCCCCCTGCTGCTCAGTATTTGGTCCACCCTCGATAGACGGCAAAGCGACCTGCAGCCCCGACAAGGAAAGAGATGCACTTCCCCTAAACCCTTGAAAGCCCGGTGCGCCTTGTACTTGTCGATCTCCTCTTTTCGCCCGCTGGCGATGCGCACTGCCTCCACGATGAAGGGTCGGGACTAAGGAGATTTCTACACCTAAGGCTAAGGGCCACTCGCAGCTGCGCGTCACGAGATTCTCTCTGGTGACCACAGTTGCCTGAGCGTGACTTCTTGCATGGCCCCCTGGCCTCCAACGTCTTTGGAGGGCACAGGCTCATCTAAGCCATCGAGCCCTCGTTTGGAGCGCTCTCGGCCGCTAAACATTTGAGGATCATCTACAATCTTCCACCTGTACTTGCAAGCAACAAAGCGGTCGAATTGTTGATCTTCACCTCTCTTAGTCAGGCTATTAGCCAGCATGGCTTGAGCATTGACCCATCTGATGTCCAAGGCAGTACGCAACTGGGATTCCTTGAGCACAAGCACTTCCAGATCAACACGTTTCTGCTCACCTGTAGGGGAAATGTAAGGCTGTTGCATGCGGTCGTACACGTTTCTACTGTCCGTGACCAAAAGCCCAGGCACCCTACGAATCATGGAGTCCGGATCTCTCAAAGAAGGCTTCCTACCCAACAACTCGCTCCACTGGTACCTAAGCAACCACAACGCATCTTCCCCATCAATAGCAGCTCTAGCTTCCGCTGACCCTGGTGAGCGGCACACTCTCTGCAGTTTGGAGGAGGACCAGAACATGGGACTAACAGCACACATAGCTCCGTCACCAATGCTTTGGTGAGTGGCGCCTATGCACACACCCCCCGTGCTACTCCCATCATGACAGTTTTGGTTAGAGGCGTCAGTCCACGCCGTAAGAGCCACCTCCTCCGGGTCACCCACCCTGTGAATGAGCATGGGCTCTTTGGCAGCATCCCTCATTTTATGAAGGAGTTGGTTGGCGGACATGAGTGCTTCCACTGTACTTTGCGGAACCTCGGAGAGGCCTAAAGAAACATACGCGGCATATCGGAATCCTACTTGGTTTGCATGCCAGGAAAGGGCTCCAAGGAGACCTCGCAACTGAGTCTTTTCTTGTTCGGAGGTGGCCTCCTTTCTTTGGCTACGTCTTTGGGGGGAAATCGGGATTTCGCGAACATTCTGCATGTACCTTTCTTGGGACAAAGTAAAAGATCCGTCTTCCTGGCGCTCGATCTGCGCTCCACACTGAGTGAGGTTGTTCAGCTCGAACTCTCCCCATTTAAATTTATCCTGAATGGCAGCCATGGTAGACTTCCAAATGGGGTCCTGAGGGTCTCCTATCATCATAAAGTCATCGACATGACCAGAAATGATGGCATGGACACGGCCCTCAACCTGCAGAACCCAACAACACGGGTCAGTGGCACACTGATAGAACCCAATTTCCAACAGAAAGGCTCTCACCGTTTCATACCACTCGTACGGAGCTTGCGCTAAGCCGTAACAAGCTTTACGAAGTCGCGCCACACTTTCTTTTGGTATTCCCATCCCTTCGCACAGCTCAGGAGTGGGTATACAGTACAGATCGTAACCGCATTCTCGGTCTTGTAAAAAGGCTGCTGACACGTCGCCCTTCCAGGCGTGCCAGTTCTTGCACGCAGCCATCTGAAGCGTGAGCTGTCTCGTGTGACGAGTGGTGGTTGGCGCATATGTGATGCGGTGCTCGTAGTTCGGGTCCTGGTAGCCCAGGACGACTGCTCTCGCTTTTGGCGAAGTAAATGGTCGGTCTTCCAGGACAGAACCCGCCGCATTCGCATAGCCTCCTGCTTGGAAGGCTGCTTGTCAGGAGGAAGAGCTTCCAGTGCTTTGGAGGCTAAGAACTTTTTCACCTCCACGCCCTTCTTGGCCGCTGCAAAGCGTTCCTTGGTGCCGGGATCCATGTTCTTTTCATAGACCTCGACGCTCTTCTTCTTGAGGGCACTGGCCAGGTAGGTCTCCAGGTCTCGGGAGGCCAGTTTCCAGCCATGTCGCGTGGTTGGCGTAGGAATTTCCAATGCCACAGCTGCGGTCTCCTGTGCCCAGAAGCTGTGTTCCTGGGAGGAAGTAGCTTGTGATGCCCGTGCCCATGGCGGAGACTCTGCTGCCGTACTCGTCGTTCAGGTGGTCGCCGTCGCGGTGCCTCGCCATGTTCGTCCTTGTCGGCCTCGCTCGGGACCTCGGCGGTGATGTCCTCACTCTTCCTTGGTGAGGGGACTTGTCAGCTCTGTCATGGTCCAGGGCAAAGAGCTTGGTCTCTCGAAGTCATGGAGTAATTCTTCGCGGGCCGAGGCGAAGCGAAGCTGCTCCACTGAGGCTTTCAGGAGTCTGTTGTTGCGAACCAGCCAAACCACATTGCTATCTTGTTGTCCTGATCCCGCCGTGTCTCCAGGGCCAAGATTCTGGCCGGCCCTGCATAGCCAGCTGCTCGCCCAGTTTGGAGTCTAGTACCCCCAGCTTTCTTGCCATAAAGCTGTGAGCGCCAGTAGAAGACTAGGTCCCCTGGCATGTACTCCGGAATGGGACGTTGCTTTGAGTTCTGTGCTCGGCTGTAGCGCTGCTGCGCCTGCCAACGAGCAAAGGTAGCTTCTGCCTCTCCTCGGAGGCAAGCTGCCTGCGCCACTTCTCCATCAGGGTGGCCCATCAGGTGCACGGGGAAGCCATTGATGTCGCTTTCGAAGGCGGCCGGCAATGTCGGGCGCCTGTCCCAAGGCGTGCTGCCTTGGGGAGTATCCGCGCACCACTTCGCGGTTGTTCCATGCTTCAATGGCTCCGGCTAAGGCATCTTGAGGCGTGACACTAGACTCATGCCCTACAAGTTTGGACAAGCATCCCTTCACCCACTCTATGCACCGCTCCATTGGAGAGATGTGCCAGTGAGCATCCCCCGGCACTGGGTCCAAGATGATGCCCATCTGAGAGAAAGCTTCGTCTAAAGCTTTGGACCTCCAAGTCCCTTCCGCCTCAAACCGCAGAGTTTCAGGCTTGCCAAAATACTGTTGCCAATGTTCACGGAAAAACTTCACATAACAATCAGCATTCGGAAGATCCGTCTTACCCTGAACCAAAACCTTCCCAACCAAAAACCGGCTACACTGATCCATGTACAGCCCTATGATGTTGCGCACTCCCGTCTTTGGGTGCACCCAGTGGGCCCCATCTGTCAGCACAACCTTCCAGCGGTCAGGATGCACTCCAGAGTTGCAACTCTGCGAGGTGCTGGCCTTTTACGTTCTTCACAGATACTACACCTATCAGAGTCAACCAGGGCCAGAATTCGGGGATCAACCTTTTTCTTTTCGAGGGTCTCCCTTAACTGCTGATAACTCCCATGTCCAGTGGCTCCATGAAGCAAATGGATTTTGTGCATCCACTTCTTTTCTTCTTCTTTGGAAAACGGTTTGTTTTGGGGTCCGGTTTTGGGCTCTCCCTGAGTTTGTGGGTGGTTTTGGGGTCCGGTTTCCGGTCTTGCTTGGACAAGAGCCTCAGGCCCTTCGGAGTACTCACCACACGTGCATTGAGGACAGGCAACGTGAATCCTTTTCCACTTAAACATGCTACACTGACACACAGACATGTCCAACTGCAAAGGATCACTCTCGTCCTGACACTGCCGCATGTAGTAGATAACCCGCTTAGCCATTTTGGGGGTATAAAACGCCGAAGCCCTGCTAAGCTGGCCCTGACACGCAACATGAGTTCCCGGGCACTCCTGGCCTAAATGGACTTGCTTGGCAAACATGCTACTCGTGGACTCAACACGCCACTCTTTACCAACAACGGACTGGGAATCCTTAGCATGAAGACCAACTCTACATCCCCCAATAATGGCAGTGTGGGTTTTCAGCTCACGACGCATCCTGTCAATGGGATCCCAAGACCAGGCCCTACACCTACGAGACCACTCCCAATGAACCTCGCTACCACAAGCTTTACTGGCGTAACAAACAACCAACGCGGCCATGTGCTGTCTGCGGGCTTCTCTCTGTTTCTTCTGCAAAGCGGCTTGTTGCTCTGAGGTACGTTGGTTCAAGTTCTGCAAAGGACTGAAGGCACCACACTCGGTAGAAACCCAAACATGCCTAGGACGAACCTTATTTATCAACTCCACAAGGCGCCTCAACCCTGCAGCATCACAGAGATCAAAACCATTGTGTAGGCCAGCCTGTATGGCTGTCAGACCCTGCCTTTCTGCCTCCGCAGTAAGAACAGAGTCCTCACTGCAAGCGACTTCCAGCATGTGCCATATCAGCCAGGAGCCCTTTGGGGATACACCCTTCAGACAACGGATAACCCCAGGCGGCTCTTCTGGCAACTGGTCGCACCTCACTTGGTCTTGTGGCGCTTCTCCTCGTCCTTCTCCTTGAGGGACACAGCATGCTCCTTCACCATCTTGGTCAGCTCGTCGAGCTGCGCCTTCAACGCCAGGTTCTCGTTCAGGAGTCTCTCCTC